GGAGCTAGAATGGCCTTTCCAACCCATGTCTGACCACATCACTCCACTGAGTTCCCTCCACCTCCAAGATAAGGTCCACATTCCTGGTACTCAGGGCCCATCTCGACCTTTCCATCTGGCCCTAGCTCCCACTATTCCCCAGGCCCCCTAACCAAATCTTACAATTATCCCACCCACACTTTATACCTCAGATAATGCTCTTCTGGGTCCCTCTGATTGAAATGTCCCTCTCTGTCTTTTCTACCCAGAAAACTCCTACTCATCTTTGGCGACTCACCTGTACACCCCTCCTCCATGAGCCATCCTGCATCTCTCCCTTTGGCTTTGCACTTAGCTCTGCTACAGTTTCCTCACTGTATCTCTGTCCATACCCACGTGCCAACAGCAGGAGCTCCTCGACGCCTGTGCCTGCTCATCCTCTGCTGGCCCCGGGGCCCAGCACCGTGTCTCTGCACCAGCTCAGGGGAGCTGCCCTTCGCTGGGCCACCACTTTCCTGATGGGGCTTCACTCTGCAGCACCATCAGCTGCAGGGCTGGAGCTGGGAAAGGAAGCTTTTCCTTTGAGGTACTCTGCTGAACTCTGGGGTGACTCAGCATGGGAGAAATGGTGAAAAGACCCACACACAAACAGAAATGCATATGAGAGACAGAGACAGAGACACACAGAGAGGGGCAGAGAAAGAGACAGTCAGGGAAAGATAAGACAGTAAAGGCCCTGGGCTAAGACTAGGCCGTGAGGGTCATTCACTCATTTATTCATTCATTCTCTCACACATTTTTTAAAAAATATATCTTTATTGGTTTCAGAGAGGGGAAGGGAGAGGGAGAGAGAAAGAGAGACATCAGTGATGAGAGAGAGTCATTGACCAGCTGCCTCCTGCAGGCCCCCGACTGGGGATGGAGCCCACAGCCGGGACTCGAACTGCGATCTCCTGGGTCCTAGGTCAATGCTCAACCTCTGAGCCACGGCCGGCTGGGCTCACCCATTTTTTGAAGCTCACTGTTTTAGGTGTGGAAGAACATAGGGGTGAACTGAGGCAGACTGAGCAAGGAGAGAGCCAAGGTGAGGAGGAAGGCAGAGAGGCACCTAGAAAGCATGTGAGGCTGGGGGTAGAAGGAGGGAGCCTGAGCCTTGTGGTCATTTTAGCTCCCACTCACTGCACGGCAAACTCCGCCCCACTCCTGCTTGTTTATCTCTGTGACTGGGCCAAGATACCCTCTCTGAACCTCAATTTGCTCAGCTGTAAAATGTCTTAAGAATTAGTACCAATGTCATCAAATGACTGTTAGAGTCAATGACAGGGCAGGCAAAGCAATGGGGGTCTTTCCTGTAGCACTGCAGGAAAGAAATCATGGTTCTCCAACCTGTGTGCCCTCCTCCAGCCCCATTCAGCACAGGTCCTCCGTCTTAATGTGGGCTCAACAGACTAGAAGGATGGACTGATAACAAGTGAGAGGACTGAGAACCCAAGTTGTCCAAAGGAAGTCAGAAGGCAAACACGATGCCACCCACAGTCAGGAAAATGTTCCACTGTGTGCTGAGTCCATGCCAATGTCTTTACATTAGCTCTTTTAAGCCTCACAGCAACCTTGTGAGGTCAGAACTATTTTTTTGATGCCAAAATCCTTTGCTTTACCCAACCTTCTGCTCTTTAGCCACACTGACCTTCTGCCCCGACAGTCAACATTGCTCCTTCCCACCTCAGGACATTTGCACACGCTATCCTGTCTGTTCCTCCCTAGGGTGCTCTTCTCCTGGCATTCTCCTACTTACCCTTACTCAAGTGTCTCTTTCTCAGGAAGACCCTCCCCGATCTCTCAGACCAAGCCACACCCTCATTATGTGGTCCCCCTCTTTCTTCCAATAGCATTCTCCCAGTTTTGAATTATACATTTATCTTTGAGGGTCTGTTTTATCCCATAACTGTCCAGGAAGGTAGGGCCTATGGTCTAGCCTGCTCATCACTTTATCCCCAGCACTCAGTACAATGCCTGGCACACAGTAAGTGCTCACTAAAGGATGAATCCAAACTTACAGCGAGGAAACTGCAGGCCAAAGCGGGGAAGCAACTTTCCCTAAATAAGTGGAAGAACCTGGCTTTACACTCAGACCTGACTAGCTCCAAAGCGGGTGCCCCAAACCTCTCTGCTTAGTGTGTCCTCACAGACACAAGGCTGGGGTGTCCAGATTCAGGTGAAAGAGCCTTCTGAGGGCCCACCCAATCCCCTCACCCTTGCCCATGCCCCTTGGTCTGGTGGAGCCTGGCTAGGTGGGGTGGTGGCAGGATCCTAATGTGTGAGGAAAGAACCAGTGTTGACAGACAAGTGCAGGCTCCTGGGCCCTGAAGCACCTGCCTGGATAGCTAATAGGACAGAACAGGGAATGAAGCACAAGCCTGCTCAGGGACCCAGGACCTGAGAACCGGGCTGGGTAGGCCACTGTCCCCCTTAGATTAAGAGAATGGAGGAGACTCCCAGCACTGCTGTTCTGTTCTGAGAGGGCCGGGGGAATATCACTCTTCCCAGGTTGCACTGGGGGAAGTGGAGCCAAGGGGCCACGCAGCCCACCCGGGACTCTGAGAGGCAACTCCTCCAGCCTCCGCTAGTCTATGTGGAGTCACTTTCCTGGCTTTTAGGTCTGGGGTGAGAGTGGGAGACAGTCTTGCCATTGTCAGGGTGGCTGGCCCAGGTCTTATTTGGGGGCTGGTGGCATGAGGTCCTGTGGGTGACAGCAGGGGTCAGCAGCAGACCCAAAGTTGGCTCCACTTTTCACAGTGGGGCATGGTGGGGGCTGGAGAACCCCGGGGATAGTGGGCTCCATATGAGACTCTGGGACAGCTGCCCGGCCTGCTCTTTTCCTCTGCAGGTCAACCACACAGGGTGGGGCCACCTTGAAGCCCCACTTGACTGCCTTGTCTCCCTCTTCTGAGCCCGCTATTAGCCAGGTGGCCTCCAGCCACCATCTTTACCATGAAGCAAACCCAAGCCCTCTGTATTCCCTCCAGATAAGGATGGCAGCCTTTCGAGAGGAGGAGTTCACCTTACCACACTCAAGTCTAAGAAATCTCAAGTTGCTATATTCCCCTAAAGCAGATCTTTGGGGTGGAAACTTTAACCCGGCTCTCCCTCCGAGGCTGAGGGATGTGCAGGGATTGTTATGTGGTGCAGAGCACTCTAGGCTCAGTCCTCACTGTGACTGCCGATGTTCTGCTCTCTGTCCAGGCCCATGAGGCCTCCCAAATGTGGACCAACCCCCAGAGTCCATGCTGCACTTGAGCTCAATGCCCAGCTAAGAATGCTGTTCCCGAGGGTCCAGCACCCCTGGGGAGTCACACAGCCCCCCTCCAGGATTCTACCACTTTTAGGGTCACAAAATCATCACTTCCCAGTCTGTGAGAGAACTCCTTTAAACTTCTCTCCTCCTTGAGTTGCCTCCCCATACATCCAAAACTCTAATCATTCACCCTGGAATGGCCCACCCTCGCCCAGAGATCACCCCAGATCAAACTTTCTTAATGCCAAAATGCAGGTAAAAAGATTTCCAGGAGTTAAAGGGACACAAAGCAGACCTTTCTTCCCTGGAGTGAAAACGGAGTCACAAGTCACCAATATCACTTCATTCTTTTTCCTAATAACTCACCCTCTTGGGTTACCATTTATAGAGCACCAACTATGTGCCACCCACAAGGCTAAACTCAGTGCCTGCATGAGATCATCAACTCTTCCATCTGCCTTATGTACCAAGGGTTTTATTCCCCATTTTTTAAGAGGATTTTGCCCAAACTCTTCTAGGCTGGTCAGTGTAGGAGCGGGACTCCAACCCAGGCTGTCTGACTCCAAAACTCAGGCCCGTTTTCGCTCAAAGACTACACCTTTCTTTAATCCCAGTCCCACCCTTGGCTCTCCCTAGAAGCCTCATTCATACAACTCTTTCCTAGCTCGGGGCAGTGAGCTCTACCCACCTCTGGAATCTCACTCAGATAACGTCCTCCCCTTCCCCCTTCTCCTCCAGACCCCCACCAAAGAGGAAAAGACACTCCCCACCAGAGGAGGCTTCTACAACCCTGGCTCTGAATGTGTATTCACCCCTTGGATTCCCATATCAACACCAAGAAGCAGAGTTCATGCTTACTGGATAAGTGGGGAAATTGAGGGGAAAGTGATCTCCACGATCACAGAGCTAATGCAGAACAGAGCCAGGGTTAGAAACCAGTTAGTCCATTCCCAAAGCGTCTGAAAAGGGCCTTATCATGGACAGAGAGTCACCGTGCACAAGAGGGAGCTGACCTAGTACTGCTCGCACAGCGGTGCCCTGAGCCTGCACTGTGCCAGGCACTACTAGTGGCCTCACACGCATTCTTCCAGAAAATCCTCACAAACCCATACGGAAGGTACTGCCATTATGTTCACTTTTCAGGTGTGGAAACTGAGGCTTGAAGATGATAATGAACTTGCTCTGTGTCAACTGAGACCAGTCAGGATTCAAACCCAGCTCAAGAGGCAAGAGCAGGTAGATTGCGGGAAACAAAATTCTCAGTAAAAAGCATGAGTTCTTATTAGGTTCACAGATTTTCACTGAAGAGCTTTAGGGACCCATGAACCTCATGAATTGTATGCAAATGTGTGTATGCTTATTGGGGGCTGAAAAGAAAAAAAACCTATAGCTTCAATATATTCTCAAACGGCAGTCCCTAGCACAGTGCCTGGAACACAAGAGATACTCAATAATATCTGGAGAATGAATGAATAAATAAATGAGTGAGTGGGTGAATGAATGCACGGCCTCCATGCCCTAGGAGACACCACACATGACCTGTACGCACTTCTACCTGCATCTTTAGAGGTGGTGAAAGCCGCCCTGGGAACTGAGCCCAATCCTCTCCCAGGCCCTTTCCCCCAGTCCCAGAGGCTACAACCAGGTGCTATGACGAGCTCCAAAGCGATGCTTCCCCCGCTTGCTCCCACCTCCACTACTGACAATGACCCGGCAGAGGAGGGAGTTGTGCAACCCAGATAACAAAGCTTTATTGAATGCCAGCAGGGGACAAGGGTGAAGCAGGGCTCGGGTGTGAAGGGCTTGTAGGAGGGGAGGGGGTCCCCCAGTGCGATCTGCTTCCACACCGCAGGGTTGGGTGGCAGGCTTCCTAGGCCTGAGCAACGCTGAGCAGCCTTAGTTCTTGGTGCGAAGGACCTGCTCGTGGGTGGACACCACCTTGCCATCGTGCACATCCACGACCTTGGTGCGAATCTGGCGACTGGAGGACACTGGGGGAAGGGGGAGAGAAGGTGTCAGCAGCAGCGAATTGGCAGTGAAGAAATCAGAAGTGGGGAGGCCAAGGGGTTGAGAGGAATTAAATGAACTTTCAGCCTGCTGCCCTCTCTCCTGATTATCTCTTTGTTCACTGCTCTTGAACTAACACTGATATGATCCGCACATTTCTTTCAGATTAGGGCTCCTGAAGGCCAGGGACAGAGCCTGTGTTCTCACACCAGAGCCTCCTGGGAACTCAGACAGGCCTGTTTCGGTCCACGTTGACCCAAACAGACCGAGACTGGACCCATGGCAGGCAGAGCTGTGTGGGGCCCTGTCCATGGTGCTGACCACCAGAACCGTGAGGTCTGCCACAGACACTGGGTGACAAAAGTAAAAAGCGAAAGCCACCAGCTCCAAGCCCTAAAGTGGGTTTAGATGATGGTTTATGAGGGATACTGGGTGAGAAAACTCTAGCTCAACCCTTCAAGAATCCCCTATCCAACACCCTACACCTGCTGGGAGACCAGGGGTGGTCCTGAGGCTTGATGAGGAGGAAGGTCTTACCGTCTCTGGATGACTGAGAGCCAGAGGAGAACTGAGAGGAGGAGAGGCTGTGAAGACAGAAAGGGACAAGGTCATTAGACACATGGGGGGCAGTGAGTGAATAGTGAAGGGATGCACTGGAGGGGGGGCAGGGCACTCACTGGGCATCCTCTCCCTCCAGCAGGCGGCGGTAGGTGGCGATCTCCTGTTCCAACCGGGTCTTCACATCCAGCAAGATCTTGTATTCCTGGTTCTGTTGTTCCATTTCGCAACGCAACTGGGCCAGCTGCTCCTCCACGCTGACCACCATCTCCTGGATCTGGGCCAGCTGCATGCAGTAGCGGCCTTTGGTCTCCTCTAGACTGTTCTCCAGGGACGCTTTCTGTGAGGGAGGGAAAGACGATCAGGGATCATTGAGTTGGTCAGTCTCCAGATAGGGGCCCACCCCAGGCCTGGCAGCGCCCCTACCATGCTGAGCTGGGACTGCAGCTCGATCTCCAGGTTCTGCACCGTGCGCCGGAGCTCGGAGATCTCGCTCTTGCTGCTCTGCACCAGCTCGCTGTTGGTGGCCACCTCGCGGTTCAGCTCCTCTGTCTTCAGGGGGGAAAAACAAACCTCATTCACCCTGAAAGTTCCTGGGAAGCAGGCCTCCTGGGTTCCTTCCACCCCGAACGGCACCCACCTTGCTGAAGAACCAGTCCTCGGCATCTTTGCGGTTCTTCTCTGCTATCTTCTCGTACTGGTCCCGCATCTCGTTCAGGATGCGGCTCAGGTCCACACCTGGGGCGGCGTCCATCTCCACATTGACGTCTCCACCCACCTGGCCTCTCATGGAGTTCATCTCCTGTACAACCAAAAAACAGTCCACTGTTCTCATCGGGAGCCTCACTATGGCAGTCGATTGGGGTTCCCCAGTCAGAGGTGGTCCTGGCCTGAGCATTGCTTTCCACCATCTCAAGTGCATCTCATTCCTCCCAGCTAATCTTCTAAGCTGGCTTTTACATTTAGCCCTCACCTCCTCGTGGTTCTTCCTCAGGTAGGCCAGCTCCTCCTTCAGGCTCTCGATCTGCATCTCCAGGTCGGCTCTGGCCAGGGTCAGCTCGTCCAGCACCCGGCGCAGGCCATTGGTGTCGGCCTCCACGCTCATGCGCAGGTTCAGCTCCGTCTCATACCTGGGATGACCCAAGAGAAAGGGAATGAGACACCTATCCTGACCACACTGAAGGCTTTGTTCTCTGCCCCCTGCAGCTTCTTCCCATAGTTGGTACCCTGTGGGTGGTTTAGGGAGCCAATCTTGAAAATAGCATGGTTGGACACAGTACCCATTGATTGCTCAAATCTGAACATTTTTGGGGTGTGAGGGGGTGACGGAATAAAACAGTTTATCATGCTACAGAATTCAGGGAAGGGTGATGCTTCTAGCTTCAGTCAAAATAGCACACAAGGCTTCCAAATATGACTACCTCGTAAACTTCAGGGGCACATGGGCAAATGGGGAGTGCCTCGCCCTAAAACTGGCTCCCAAACCTGGCTGTGGACCAGAATCACCCAGGTAGCCTGTTAAAATAACTGAATCAGAACTCCAAGGGTGGGGCCCAAAAATCTTCCATTTTTATAAGCACCCTAACGGGTTTCACATGGCCATCCTGGCCATCAGCTCTGTTTAGGGAACGCTGCTCCAGTGCCCTACCCTGGGGAGACTGGATATTCTGGGCCACCACCACACACTCACTTGGTGCGGAAGTCATCCGCAGCCAGGCGGGCATTATCAATCTGCAGGAGGACATTGGCATTGTCCACAGTGGCCGTGAGGATCTGCAAGGGAAAGGACACAGGTCATTGGTCAAATGGACCTCACTAGCCAGGCCTCACTGCAGCCAGCATGAGGCCTTTGCTTTCATGCTCCTGCTTGAGTCCCCACCTCCTCCCATAAGCCTTCGCCTTGCAGCAGCCTAAAGGGTAACCTCTGGCAGCCCAGCTTTAACTCAGGACTTTGCTGACTCGTGGTCAGCAGAGGGGATAGAAAGTGCCCTGGCCTTAGAAGCAAAAGCTCTTGAGTTTTACCACTGACTTGTTGCAAAACCTGAACCAGCTCTCAGGGCTCCCAGTTCCCTGCATACAGATGAGACCCAGTTCTCAATCTGAATTCTCTCTCTGCACAAGCCAGCCCTTCCAGTCCTCCGCAGGCACATACATTCTTTCTCAAGCCCACAGAGCATGGGACCTCAGATGGCACTTTTACAAAAGGTAAGACCCATTTGGCACAGAGGATCAGAAAAGAGGAAGCAGAAGAAAAAGATTGATTGAACCCTGGATTGGCTGGAGTTCCCTCCCCTGTCATCTAATTTCCCTAATCCACGAAAGACATCAGAGCAGCACACCAAGGGAAGCAGGATCAGCAGGAAGGGCTCCTGGGGTGGTGTGGGAGCAGGGAGCAGGGGCCCGGAGTCAGCTGACAAAAGCTCCCCAGGTTCTTTCCTGTGCTAGTCACATAAAGTGGGCTGCCACTGATGGTCTCTGTGGGTTCTCTGTGCCCCCCTAGCTGTGGGGAAGGACCAGCTGGTGCCAGGGCTCATGGGTGGCAGCCGCCACAGCTCAGACTAATGAGCTAATGAGCAGTTTGAGTGTCTAGCCCTGTCCCGTTACAGCCTCGCTCCTCCCCTGTGCAGGAGAACAGATAACTGTCTCCTATACTGGCAGGTGGAGCACAGGCGTTCTAGCCTCGGCTCGGCTCGGCTCTGCCGTTAATTTGCTTTGTGCCCTTGGGTAGGACACAGCACCCCTCAAAGCTTCTACTTCTCCCTCTGTAAACTACAATGGTAAGAATTCCTGGTCTCACATGGTCTGAGGATCTGGAGCTCAGGAGGGTGTCAGCAAGGCAGGGGAAGGGAAACCATCTTCCCACTGACCAGCTCAGTTGGGGGCATCCAGGGCCAAGGTTAGGAACCTATCCTAGGAATCTAAAGGTGCCAGTGGCCTGAGGCACATATTGCTCTAGAGTCAGGTAGCTGGAATGGCACCTCCTGCTACCTGGTCCACTCACCTTGTTCCTCAGGTCCTCGATGGTCTTGAAGTAGGGGCTGTAGTCCTTGATCTCACTGGGCCGCTGCCTCTGGTACCAGTCTCGGATCTTCACCTCCAGGTCAGCGTTGGCCTCCTCCAGGGCGCGCACCTTGTCCAGGTAGGAGGCCAGGCGGTCGTTGAGGTTCTGCATGGTCACCTTCTCACTACCCACCAGGAGTCCATCACCACTACCAAAGCCAATACCATAGCCAGCACCAAAGCCACCACCGAGGCTGTTACCAACGCTACTACCAAAGCCAATACCCATGGATCCACTATAGCTGTTGTTGCTGAAGCCACCGCCGAAGATACCGCCATAGCCGCCTCCTAGCCCGCAGGCCCCCCCAGAGGAGTAGCGGGAGGAGGAGACCGACATGCCCCCAAAGGCGCTGGGGGCCCGGCAGGACCCTCCTGCCAGGACGGAGGACATGCGGCTGGAGCCACCACCGATGCCACAAGAGCCCTTCATGGAGCTGGAGGAGGTGAACTGGCGGCTGCAGGTGGTCATGGTGACAAAGAAGGAGGTGAGTGAGCGAGCGAGTCAGCAGAGAGAAGAGAAAGGTACTCAGGTAAGTGGGAAAAGGAAGCAGGTGCTTTATAGTCCTGAGGAGGGGGCGGGCCTGGCATTTTCCATTCCCCTTGGCTTTCATCACGTATTCCCAGCGCCAACTCCCAGCCAGATCCCTCCTCTCCTCTGCCTTGTCATGTCTATCATATTTTACTGGAAACTCATTGTTTGGGGTGTTTTGGGTTTCTCGCCCCGCCAGGCATGATTCACATGAGAAGGTGTGGGCCTGCAGGCTACACTTTCCTATCAGGCCCTGGGAGCTATGGCCCTCAGGAGCCCACATGCTGGACTCAGTTGGGTGGCAGGGAGCAGGGCCTCTGCACCATGAACCTGGTGACCTGTTAGCTCCCCATTAACTATGTGAGGCTTAGACAGTCCTCTTAGAGGAAGCCCACAACTCAAGGGGGCACCTGCATGGAGGGACACAAGCATAGCAAAGTCACATCAAGCACAGAGGTGCCCCTCAGCATTACCGTCTATAAAAAGAAACAAGAAAGTCTGGGGCCCTCCCAGGTCTGACTGCTGGACTGTGCTAAGGAGCCTGTCACATCCTTGAACCATGCTTGGCCAGTCAGGTGGCTCAGGCTTCCACCCTGCCACCCCCATTAAAGGGAAATCCAGGCAGCTCTCCCCAGCCCTGAGCAAACACCCCAAATCTTCCACCCACCTGTGCGTGGGCCCACGGTGCTAGCTGCTCAGTCTGGCCACAGGCACGGCAGACACATCAGGAAAGAGCATGCAGGCACGAGTCCTGGTCCTGCCACTTACTCCTGTGTGACCCAAGATCTGACACTTCTCTGAGCCTCAGTTTGCTCATCTGTAAAGTGGAAGCAAACACCATCCACCCCACCTATTGTGGATTCAGCTCTCAGAATCCAACACAGCAATGTATGTGAAAGGGCTTTGTAAGCCGAGTGTGGCACAAAGTTGTTAGCACTGTTGTAGCCCACCCTGGGCTCCAGGGGGGTGGAGAAGCACCCCTGGAACAACCTGGCAGGGCCTTTTCCCCTCCATCCCCAGGTGTCTTCTCAGGCCCCTAGGGTAGCCCTGGTGGGAGGGGCTGGCTCAGGTGCCCCTATTGAAACCGTTGTGGAGCTGGTTCAAGGGTTTTTTGAGGGGGAAGTAGGAAAGGAGTGCGGGTACCTAGGAGTGGACTCGAGGGTCCCTGACTCCTGAGGCCCTGATGGTTAGGGGACATTTCCAGGGGCCCATTTTGTTCTGCCTTAAAAGCTTGTGCATGGGGACCTCAGCCATCCCACATCTCCCAGACAACCTCCTCAGGCACCCCTCCGGCAGCACCCTGCCTTCCTGCCAGCCCCTCAGCTCCACAACCCCGGCGGGCATGTTGGGAGGAATGTGGTCGTGTCTGGGGCTGCCCGACACGTCCCATCTCCCCAGACAGGCCCCAACAGCCCCCGCTGGAGGCTCCAACGCTCTTCTGAGGATCAACTGCTCCCAAAAGGGAAGCGGAGCCTCCCTCTCCCCCCACCTCACTGCCATCAAAGCAGCCGTCAGGGAGCTGCTCCCCCACCCCCCACCTGGCTTAGGAGCTCAGAAGACAATGCTGATCAAACACTGGAGGCTGTGGGCTCCCCAAATCTGCCGCGCAAAGTATTCATAAGGATGTGAGTAAGCCAGGGCCCCACCCCTGACAGACACTCCTAATCTCCTTCCACAGGATGGTCCCCCACCCCAGCCCAGCCCTATAATTCCCCAGTAAGAGGCAGCAGGGACTTTGGCCAAGAGACAGATGCTTTTATTAGGAAGAATGTTGCTGTTGGCTGCGGGTTGCAGGTACAGAGTGCTCACCAGAGAAAAATGCAGCATCCGGAGGGTCCTTGGGAGCAGAAATGGGTGCAGAGCCCACCACCCTGTCTCCCTCCACTGCAGGCAGCCACAGACAGGCTCCCCAGAGCACGGAACACAGGAAAAAGTCTCCTTCACTCCTCACCTAATTCATGGAACCCAAAATAGACTCCGTCCTTGCCCTCCTCTAAGGGGAATCCAAAAGATAAACAGGGTAGGGAACCAATGATATATGAACTCATGCACACAGTCTAAGGAGAGACCTTCGCCAGCCTTCCCCTCCCCCACAGACCCTGAAACCCCACCGTGGAATACAAGTCTGATCTCCCCTCATCGGGATTAGAACCCAGAATTAGAATTCAGACCCTGCAGACATGGAACTAGGCACCAGTAGCCCAGCCTGGTGCTCATGATAATTTGAGGAGGGGCAGCTTTTGTGGGCAGCAGGGGTTAACAGAATGAGGGATATGGTCTGTGGGAGCCTGAAGCAAGCGAGGGCACACACACACACACACACACACACACACACACACACACTGCTGCACTCCTGTGGCCGCCCGGGAAGGAGGGGCAATGGAGGAGCCTGGGCGGTGCCCCTTGTGGTCTGTGAGTCTCCCTGCACCAGCCTGGGGTGGGAGACCCACGCCAATCCAAACAGACAAAGCCGCTGCGTTGTGTGCTGAGGACCAGGCAGGGAGCCAGGCAATGGATCCTGAGGCAGATGGGACCTCGGAACAGCCAGGTCTGAGGAGGGAGATACAGCCAATGCCACTGGAGCCCAAGCTAATGGAAGAGACTGTCCCTGCCCTTAGGAAGCCACCTGCCTGAGAGGGACAAGAGGATTCACATCAAAATTACTTAAGACATGAACAACCCACTACCCCACTACCCCATCTAACAGACTGGCAGCTGTCCACATGCAGAGGCAGTGATGAAAAACATGGTAAAGAGACGGTTGTGCTGAGAGGTGAGCAAGGCCAGCCTCATTTGCCTGGACTCCTAGAGGGACTCTGGCTCTTAGGAGAGACTTATCTGGGGGAGGGGTGTCCAGGCTCAAGAAAGAACTCTTTCTTCCCTCTCGTCCAGCCCCAAAATCAGACTGGGCCTCCTCAAACCCTCTCTGTGCCCCCATGCAGGCCTCCCTTGTAGAAATATCATGTTTCTCTGATCATTGATATCTAGAGTCTTTTTCTAGGCCTCCCAGAGCCCCAGGGAAAAGGAGAGGACAGCCCTGGCCAGTGTGGCTCAGTTGATTGGGATCATCCCCTGCATGGAAAGGTTGCTGGTTCGATTCCCAGTCAGGGCACATCCCCGAGCTGCTGGCTCGTTCCTGGTAGGGAGCGTGCAGGAAGCAGCAGATGGATATCATGCTCTCACATTGGTGTTTTTCTCTTCTCCCTTCCTCTCTTTCTAAAAATCAATAAACTTATTTTTCTTTTTTAAAAGAGGGGACAGTCAGGGTCACAAGTAGGAAGTCTAAAGTCCGAAGAGGCTCATAGACAAGTGACCAGTCTGAGGCCTCCTTGTGATTCTCAGACCTGCAGGCTGGACTTCCTCTCTCCTCCTGGCAGAGTCCTGAATCCCCTGCCTTTCCTTCCCTGTCCCTCTACACTGTTCCCTTCCCAGCCTCCTTAGTTCATCCCTCTCCCCACCAAGTCCTAGACACCTGTGTGTAGTCAGGGTAATGTCTCCTACAGCTGGGAGCGGTCACTTGTAGAGACAATGGGCTGAGGCCTTGCTGACCTGGACCTCAGCCTCTCCCACCAGAAAGGTGGGACTAGCACAGGGGCCAGGAGCAGGCTGGCAGGCAGGATTGCAAGCACAGGAGGCAATCAGGAGCCTGGAGCACCTCCACAAGGCCCTAGGTCCCCTTTCCCCTAGAAAGCTCTGCCACCCGCAGGTTTCCCAGGCCGGCCAGCCCATCTGGGCCAAGTGTCCTTGTGAGAGCCTGGGCTGACACAACAGATGGGCTGAGTCGAGTGTTTCAGTGTCCCTGACCCTGTCTGAACCTGCCAGCTGTGAGAGCTGGCAGAACAGAGACTGACCACCCCACATTATAGATGCAGAAGGTTCAGAGGTAGAGGAAACACCCAAAGTCCACAGTGAAAAAGCTGCTCAGCCAGGATTCAATCCCAGCTCTGCTTCACTTTCCAGTGCCAGGTCCCCTCCTGCTATTGGGTCCCCAAAAGTCAGAGCCGAAAAGGGCTTCCATGGTAAGGGACTATGAAAGGATGGATGGATGGATGGATGGATGGATGGATGGATGGATGGATGGATGGAAAAATGAAGGGTGATGGATGGTGGGTGGGTAGGCGGGTGGGCAGGTGCGTGAGTGATGGAGGGAACACAGAGAAAGGGCAGTCGCCCCACCCATCCCAGGGTGGGCAAGCATCTTAGAGGAGCTTTTAATTGAGTAGATGCTAAGCAAGCAAAGAAAGTGAGGAAGGACATCCCACTTGCTCAGGGGAGCACCTGAGCAAGGATGCAGAGGCAGGAAACACTGGTCTGAGGGCAACTGCAGGGCTTAAGCATTGCTGAGCCCCCAGCTGAAGGCTGGATCTGCCTGATGGAACTGGGAGCGGAAGCCAGGTGACAAAGGTCGGGCTGAGGAGTTCAGGCTTTATCTTGGCAATACTGGGGGCACTGAAGGGGTCTAAGCAGGGGAGTGGCACTGCCAGGTGTGTTTGACCCTGCAAGTCCCACCCATCGCCTCAGATCGCCTGGCTTTCCGCTTCTCAATCCGACCACTGCCTCCATGGCCTGTGCCCGCCCCCCATAGCTTCCACAGCGCTTTTGGGGGCCACAAAATGTCTCTCCTTTAGTAGCTGCTCAGCATGCTAATTTCCTGTAATTACTCTGGTCTGATGGAGGAGACACAGCCCTTGCCCTTGGGGGTGTCCAGTCTGATTGGGGAGGGCAAATGAGCCTAAAGCTTCCTCTGCTCCATAGGCCGAGGGGAGCCTGGAGCCGAGGAGCCACCAGGTGGAGTGGGCACCACATGGAAGGCTTCTTGGAAATGTTGTGTTTGACTCAGGTTTTCAAAGAAGGAAGAGCCCTGGGTGGGTGGAGTGGGGAGAGGGTATTTCCAGGCAGGGGCGTGGCTGTGGGAACTCGAGGAAAGTCAGCAACTGGGAGACGGAATGGCTGTGTCAGGAGTCCCAGCGCAGCAGGGCAGAGGGAAAAGAAAAGACAGAAGA